TATACACATGTAAGTGTCTTTGTAAACTTGTATTCAATCAATCAGGGGTTTTACAGTAATACGAATACTCAGAATACATTTACTTCTTCGAAAGAAGGTTACATTTAAACATAAGCTACTTCGTTTTCAACCTTTAATCTAAACAAGAATGTTGCAATTATTTTTTTGCTTGCTTGATAATTTATTGTAAACTTAAATTGTTTCCACAACGAAAGAAAAGAAAAATGTGTATTTTAGTTCAACATAAGAATATCTTTTCAAGATGCAGAAAACAACACCCTCAAGTTCATGGTTCTTGCAAAGCTATACCTAATTGTGCAAAGTATTATTTGCATGCATTTGATGTTAATAAAGCCCAATTTAAACTACAAATCAGATAGAAAATTATATTTTTTAATCAAGTTTAGTTGATATTCTTCTAATTGTTCTCAATTGCATTGAGTGAAGTAGAATGTTCTGGGAAACACAAGGACCACAGATATCTCGAACCGAAGACCACCGCTTCTTCCTCCATAATTCTAAATGCGAAAGTCCCGCTACAGAAAGTCACGCATCACTTACTAAACACGTGTGCCACAAACCGTAGGAATTTAGCCCACAGACATACATTAAGCATGGTTTTTATACTTGGATAATTTTACCCGCTTCAAGCTGTGCCAGGTTACCAAGTGGTCGAGTGAATGACGGTCGAATGAAAGTTTAGCGTCCGAAAATTCGAGAGTTCGCACTCATTTGAAATCGGGTCTAACTATGGCCAGGTAAAACGGTGTTTCGTCGTAATTCATTCCCGCGGGGTTTTTTTCGGCGTACAACTTAGGCCAATTACACGGCATTTTTCACTGCTTAGGACCGAATAAGTTTTTGGAAATACAACCTTTGATGTTGCCAATTGAAATGCGCATGCGTAAAGATTGACATTCACTTACTTTGAAAAAATGAACTTTAGTTTTAAAAATAATATAAATATGATTAGTTAAAATAAATTAGTCAGTTGTTACGCATGTGTAAATTATTTTTGAGCATGACTGACTGCTTTTGACACTCAAAATTTTATAATGATAAAGATGTAAGGTAAGCTTATTTAAGCGTATATTAGTTTCTTTTTCTTTTAACTTGAATTGAGTTGCTTTGTTTTTCTAAGTGATCCGTTTATATGCACTCAAAACATACAAGAAATACATGCAGAATATTTTTTACTAGTTGTTTGTAGGTTTTCTGATAAGTTTTCGGCTTTTTTCCTATTGTCACGCTTGTAAAACTAGTGACGTCAAACCATGTTTCACACTGCTATGAAAACACAGTACTCGGCCAATCAGAACGCGAGTCGAGTATCTAAGTTATTTTATAAATTTAAATAAATTGGCGGCTAGGATTTTTTCAGATGCCTGCAAAGTGACTTAGGTATAAGGCTTGCTGAAACAATGATCTCAAATTCTGTTAAGAAATACCTGACTTGAGCATGTCCGTCCATCTCCTTCAAAACCCAGTTTACACCGGCACGTATATGACCCAATTGTGTCGGTACATTGTGCGTTAACGCTACAAGAATTAGCTCCTGTCGAGCACTCGTCAACGTCTAAAACAAAACAGACAGGTCTTTCAATGCAAACTCGAGTCCGAGTGTTTGAACTTTTCTCTAATATTTTTTACACGTTGGCTTAGATTGGCCCTGTGCTCTGTTTCTGCTGCGGCGCTTTCGGCTTTAGCCATATCTGGAAACGATTCTCAATGAATTGCTATTATGGTGCGAAGAGTGCGTCGGGTAATTCGAGGGAGCCAGACCCATTGACTTCGTATTTTTGATGAACTGAGCTTTATTTATTGAGATTACTGGCGCTAAAATATTCCTTTAAGGTGTTTCAATCGTAATAAATAGCGTTTCGCGCGTATTTTTAAACTCCAATTACGTCGCAAATTTCGATTCCATTGCACTCAAACTTTCACAGAAGTAACAGTGATTATCGATAATTGTTGTTGATAAATTAATTTGACAAAAAGCGAAGCCATTTGGATAAACGATGCAAAATAAAAACAACTTCATTTTTCTTCAAAGTTAATTTTCTCGAAGCTCATTGCAGAGATTGTAATAAAATTTTCAAAATCATTTCTTAATAACATAATTGATATACTGACGAAGTTTTAATAAAATCTTAACCTAAAATTTCGAGTTGTTTGAACAAAATGATGTACATTCAAACAACTCGAAATTTTAGGTTAAGATTATATTGAAACTTTATCAGTATATCAATTATGTTATTAAGAAATGATTCTGAAAATTTTATTACAATCTCTGCTATGAGTTTCGAGAAAATTAATTTTGAAGAAAATTGAAGGTGTTTTTATTTTGTATCGTTTATCCAAATGRCTTCGCTTTTTGGCAAATTAATTTATCAACAAGAATTATCGATAATCACTGTGACTTCTGTGAAAGTTTGAGTGCAATGGAATCGAAATTTGCGACGTAGTTGGAGTTTAAAAATACGCGCGAAACGCTATTTATTACGATCGAAACACCTTAACATTGCACGACACATGTTCTCCCTGTTAGTTTAAATTAAACAGGTTTTACATTCTAAAACTCGTATTTCTTGAAGTAAATCGCTATGCTCGTATACATTTTATCAGAATTGTGAGTACGGCCTCGTTCCTAGTACAAGTCAGTAACATCATTTACGCTTAGAATTTCGGTAACATTCAAATAATTTCAAGTCATAGTTGCGGATCGAAAATACTCTGTCAAATTTGAAGATTTTTTCTTCATCCAAATGCAAAACGACTTGACTGAATTATTATTCATGATATCTACTAGCGTAAAGGGTGGTAACTACAAAATGGACGGATTTTGTCGTAGTCGCACTTCAAGAAAGTGTTCTGAGTGATCATTCACTTACTTTTACACTGGGGGTTTTCAATGATAATAGTTCCATTCCAATTTGTCCAGTTTCCTGTGTTGGGATCACATAGCAGTTGATGATTTTCAGGGATCCAGTAACCAGTATTACACTTAAAAGTTAAAGTGCTGTTGCCAAGGAAATCACCTATCATGTGTCCGTTCGTAGGAGAAACCATCTCAGGGCAAATAAGGAGACCTGACCAATGAAAAATAGTCCATAGAAAATAGTAGATATTTATATGGTTATATGTGACTTGAGCTATCTGATCTTTGAACAACGAGCAGTCCAAAGATAGATCAGCACGCGAACCAAGTCGGTAATGTTTTTGATTTCAAAGAACGCGATAGTAGTTGATAAGGAGCAGATCACAACAAATGACTTTTTTTGAAGCATGACATTCGGAGATGGACAATCAATTCCGAAACTACAGATAACAATACCTGACACTTCCAAAATCTTATCACGCATGCCTGTTAATTCTAGAATCGCTGCATTCTCGGCCCCAGAGGTCCTCGGTCGGTCGTTCCTCTCTCCCTTAGTTAGCTCTGGTGGCAGCCGTTTGAGGCTCGATACTGATTGGCTAGGATAGCGGAGCATGCGCAATTTTCAACGATCAGTCAACCGTCTCTGCTTGTTTCTGATTGGTCGATTTATAAGGATGCTCGGAGCTTTTTAGATGGAAACCTAGTGCGCATAAAGCCAAATAAACAAAGCTGACCTTTTCCTAACGGGCTCAGGTCGAATCTCAAAATGGCGGATGAGTTGTGTAGTCTTTCCGAAGCTGTTAGCAAATCCAAAATTCGACTAGGTATTTCTTTCAACCTTCGCGCGGAACAAGAAAATGTAATCAGATTTATTGCTCAAGAAAAAAATGACTGCATTTGTGTTTTACCAACCGGATTTGACAAGTCTCTTATTTATCAATTGTTGTCATTTGTTGACTGATCGTTGAAAATTGCACATGCTCCGCTATCCTAGCCAATCAGCAAACGGCTGCCACCAGAGCTAACTAAGGGAGAGAGGAACGACCGACGGAGGAGCTCTAGGGACGAGAATGGAATCGCTCGTGCTAAAAAATTGGAACATTAGATCAATACAATACAATACAATACAATACAATACAATACAATAAACTTTATTTATAGAGGGTGACACTTGACAGTACTGCAACTGATAAACTAGTGGCCCTCGAAGATCGGTAATCGCGTGTCAATAACAACGGATTTTGTTCACATTTTAGCACTGATGAAGGTTTGAAATAGAAGAACAGTACATATCTGATTAAAATTATTATGTATCTCATACGTTTGATATGAGCAACTGAGTGAAGATGGCTTTATGAAAGCCGAAAAATAATGTTCGGAACGTAAATTGCAAATAACGAAAGACTGTGCGACGGTTTTGGTGAGCGGTTGACTAATGTGCACGTAATATATGCGACCATTCTCGGGTTGAGGAAAAAGACTTAGAAGAAAACCTATAAGATTAAAGCCGTTCATGCCAAAGAACTCTGAATGAACACGAAATCGACTATAATTTATCGAAAATGGTAAATTCCTATGTAGGATTATGAATAACGGCGAAAACAATGCTCACTTTCAGAAGATATATAAAGGGCTGGTTTTAAGGCAAAGAACAAAGTGCGAGTTAAGTCATTTAAAAGAATACCAAACCTACATGATGGAATGGTGTCACTCCATGCGCCATTTTCCAGACAAAGTCGGTTGGATGGTCCCACCAAGTTGTATCCAGGATCGCAAGTATATACTACCATATTCCCGGCCCAAAACTCATTGCCAGTGCGATAGCCATTCAAGGGTTTTCCAGGATCGCCACAGCTCATTAAGGCTAGAGGGTATGAGGAGAAACTCTTAAATTTTATGATACATTTTAAGTCCATTATGGACATTGTGTTATATGGTGATGTTTGGAGTTTACCTACTCAATGCTGTAACGTTAGATAGGAACCCTAGGGAATGCTTTCATTTTTTGAATGAATTGGATGCAGTATTAAGTGATAGCATTTTTGATTAGTGGGTCAATGGATATAGTAGTATTGTTAAATTAGGGCTGCATAATGATAGGTTTCTTCATTCTCGGACTTACAGACTTGTATTGTAGTTTCAGCTGTTCCATTCTCGTAGTTTCTAAAAAAGCATTTGTATCGTCCTTGGTCTTGAGGCATGAACGAATCAATGACCAACTCGCCTATAGTTTCTTTAATGGTTTGGTGAACTGTAGTGTTTACAGATAAAGGTTGGCCATCTTTGCTCCACTCGATCGTTGGCAGCGGTGATCCAGTAGCCGAACAAATATATTGCATGTGATGGTTGTGTTCCAGTCTTCATAACCAGCTAGGTAAACTGGAGGTAGAACCACGAATCGTGGAGCAACTATTTGAAAAGCAACGATATGTTAATAATTTTTCAGAAATTTTCTCATACTAGTTAATCATTCATGATGTATCCAGCCAATCCCTCATTGTTATTTCAGTGTACCACGTGCAGTAACTGGAAACCAGGAGAAGTACCCCTAGCTTGTATTCTACCTGTTTCCAGTTACTTTTACCTTGTTTCCAACTACTGCTAACAAATGTTTAGAAACAATGATTTGATATAGAAATAATTTAGTGAAAAAAGGTCTTTGATACATGACTGCCTCACGAAACGATCCCGAACCGTCCAGTCTATATGCGCCGTCTTCACATACACTTACACCACCGAGTTTCTGATACCATTAAAATAATAATAATAATAATAATAATAATAATAATAATAATAATAATAATAATAATAATAATAATAATAATAATAATAATAAACTTTATTTACGTGTCAGATTTATCTAGCTTACAATAGTAAGGCTAATTGGGGACACCTATCTAAGCTAGTTATAATATATAAAAAGATAATATATACTAGAATGCAGTCCCTCCCTATAAGTACCCATACAAATAGTACTAGTAATTAGTAATTAGTAGTTAATTAACAAGAACACAAAAGACAATTTTTACAGTTAGTATTAATTTTACTATCAAGATCTGACGATCTGATTAGTTTTTTGAAAGATTCAAACGTTTCAGCATTACGTATTGTTTTATCAAGTTTAGACCAAATTAGAGGTCCTAAATACCTCAAGCTATGCTTCCCATAGGTTACTGTATTAAATCTCGGTATGAAAAATTCATTGTTTCTAAGATTATAACTCTTAGTGTTCTTGATAAAAATGTCCTGCAGAGTATTTGGGCACATTCTATTTTTAACTTTATACATAATTTTAGCTATATCCTGTAATCTCCTGTTCTTTAGTGTAGGTATCTTTGCCATAGCAAGTAGATCCTCATATGTACATAATTTTTTTCCTCGGAAGATAACAAAGACAAAGACAATTTGATTAGCTTTTGTTTCAGAAAGCCGTTCGGGAATTGAGTACAATAATCATGTATTCAAAACTATGAAAACTGAAAACTGAAACTTCTTCTTTTAGATGCATTTCCTTAGCTGGAACTAATAGCGGGGACTTGAAATCCCGTCCAGTCCTCATTGTCGGACTTTAAACGTTACTTAAAGGACGCTCACAATTAAACTAGTATCACCTTTCTCCTCGAGAGTTGTTTGCTCAATTTCTTATAAAAATGTTGTCAGAAGGTTTTTTCAAGCCCCTGATGTTTGAAAGAAAGATCAGAAATGTAAAGACTTTGAAAACAGCACTTCACATTCGATTAATGGATTGTGTAGTTCTCAGAGCTGAACTTGAACTCAGTTGAATGAGAAAACACAATTTTTTGAACTACGTAAACACATCCCTCTAAAGACCCAATTGAGACTATAGTGTTTTTCTCTGACTGACATTACCGTTTACAACAAGTTTCATTTTTGCCGTTGCTTGACCAATGAAATTCTTTGCTTTCAATAAGTAAACCCCATGATCTTTGAACTTTACATTGCTTATTCGTAGAGCACCAGT